CATAAGGTCAATTATATATGCTATATGATGGGAAAATGTGACATCCCAGCTCACCCAGCATGGTCCATCGAGCATCAAAAAACAACCACTAGATGATAATTCTAATTCTGGCCTGATTGTCCTTCCCCACTGAAAGCAAAGCAACCTTTCACATGAGTACTTGTGGCTGCTAAATGCTTCCATTTTTCTCATACCCCTCCCTCAAAATTGGGGGATAGGCATTTAAAAAAAAAAACATACATTTTATTCCAAGTAATTATGTAGCATAGCTTGCAGTTTCAGCTGACTTTCGACTTTGCTACTTCTGTTCCTGAATTACGTGACTGTTTGCTGAACAGCTGGACAGCCTACACTTGGGTGACATGTGTATGACATGTGCCATTCTGAGAACCATGGATGCCTTGAAGCATATATAAGCTGCCACAACAATCAGCCAGTGAGCTCTTTCTTGGTTTCTTGGAGCAGGGATGATATATTTTTGAAGCTCTAGGCAAATATTTGAATAATTACGCCTCCCTAACATATTCTCACCAGGTTTTGGCACTTTGGAGCATAGAGGTAGCCATAGATCCTACCTTACAAGGCTAGTCCTCTGCAGGAAAACCTGTCTGGAAACAATTATCTATTTGGAGCAAAGCTTTATTGAAGACATCCTCTCTATGTTGTCAAGCCCAAGTCCAGTTATTTATTTTATTTATTTAAAACATTTGTTTACCATTTCCTGTTTAAAAAAACCTAAAACATTTCAATGTGGTTTATGTAACCATTTCAAGATTAAAGGACTGTAAGAAGAGAGATGGATGGGAACCTCAAAATGACATCCTGCCCTCAGGAGACAGGTACAGTTTGATGGATCCTAGGTGAGGGATTATCGAAGATTTGATAGGGAACATTATATGGTATTTAGCCACACTTATGGATCAGCTATGAGTCTACGGGCCTATTTTGTCCTGTGAGTTGCTAGCTTGAGAATCAGGCAGAAGTCAGATTCATAAGTAAAAGATAAGAAAGTAAAACTCAGTACAGGATCCAGAGTTTTTGACAGATCACTGAAGAAGACTGGAGAGAATTAAATTCTAGACATGGGGGGACTAGGCATTGAATA